TTCCTTCCTTCCTTCCTTCCTTCCTTCCTTCCTTCCTTCCTTCCTTCCTTCCTTCCTTTTTTAAATTACAAAGCAGAAAAGGAAATTTTTGGCCATCTGCAATCTTAGAACCTTAACCTTGAATGAGCTTCACTCTGCTTGGGCTTCCTTGGCCCATTCTCTTTAAACGTGTAATAGTATAGTGCCTGGTCACATGAGATTCCTGAGATACTAAGGTAGGAAAAAGAATGGGTTGGGCATCAAACACCAAACAAGAACAATTACCTTTGTAAAGCACAGGGTTCATTCCCTAATATTTACCTATCTCTGTCTCTCACATACACTCAATCCCTAATATCTCTCTGTCTCTCTCTCTCTCTCTCTCACACACACACACACTACAGCAACATGGGTCAGAACCAGGAATCACCAGGCAGCATCACCACATATTTAGTGTAGATTGAGCTGAAGGTGCACTCCCAATTCAGTGCTTATCAATTAATGTAAAGTCACAATCATGGATTCATGAAAAAGGTGGGAGAGATTTGATTCCACACATGCCCGCATACATCATACACACAAACACGCAAATAATAATAAAAAAAACAAAAGTGCTTAAAAAATATAGTATACATAAACAGGAAATAAAATTGTATACACACTATACCATCAGATACATTTTATAAAAATAGCCATTTAAAAAGAAAACAAAAACTATTAAAAAACAAAACAAAACAAAACAAAATACCAGTTAGGTGGTGGCGGCACATGCCTTTAATTCCAGTACTCAGAAGGCAGAAGCAGGTGAATCTCCGAGTTTGAGGCCTGGTCTACAAAGCAAGTTCCAGGATAGCCAGGACTACACAGAGACCCTGTCTCAAATCCCCTCCCCCCGAAAAACAAACCCCCAAAGAAAACAAAACCTTTGACACTTTCCCTGCCAAGGACAGCAGGACATGCGTAGGTCTGTAAGTCTGCCCCACCTTACTATCAAATACTAAAAAAAAAACCCCAAAAACAACAGCAAAACCCACATAAATCCATGTATCCATGTGGGGGCATTCTGCAGGGATAAGCACTGTGTGTCCCTGCCTATCTGACACAGTAGAGCTGCCCCACCCCAGTTGTCACCTGGCAGAAAGCCTTGTGCCATTGGATGTAGAACCTGTTGTTGTGACGAATACTCCACCAATGGATCCCTGAGCCATTTCTAAAAAGAGAGAGAAGCAAATGGAAGTAAAACTGGGAAGCCAGCCATGGTGGTACCTGCCTTTAACCCCTGCACTTGGGAGGAAACTCTCTTAAGTTTTGGACCAGCCAGAGCTACACAGTAAGACCATCTCTAACAAAGAGAAACTCCTGAGACCCAATGTGCAAGAAAGAAGCAAGGCTGATGACAACCACAGCTTGGGGAGATCCTCGAACACCTTGACTGGTCGCTTTCCACACCCTCTATAATATGAACCAGGGTGGCTGGGTCCCAGGCAGGCAGGACAAGGGCAGCATGCTCCCCTCAGGAGGGGCTCCCAATGCAGCTCTGTGTGCCAGAAGCAGCCGAGGGCAGCAACAACCAACAGCACAAGCGCACAGCATCCCCTACAGCTGAGACCCAGAGCTCTACAGGAGCAGGATGAGAAGGCAGGGCCCAGGCCAGGGGTCCAGCCTGCATCTGCTGCAGGATGGCTGAGGACAGGCAGTAGCTAATGTCCCCATACCTCAGACAGGACAGGACAGATGTTCATGTGATCTGGGTCAGAGTTCTTGGCACATAAGGAGTCCCTGACAATCTCAGAAAGCAAATTCACACCATGCATTTTTGACTGTTGAACACGATTTTTTTTTTTTTAAGGAATTATCACTAGAGTATCACAGTGGTGTCATGACCTGAGCTCAGCAAAGTCACGAAAAACCCAGGGAATGAACAGCCCTACTCCACGCTATCCTGACTGAGGGAACACCAGTAGCTCACAAGGCCATTCTTGCTGCCGATTATAAGAACCAACTGATAGCCTTAGGAGTGCATCAGGCCCATTACCTCCATCCTCCCTCAGGAGACAGATTCTCACTCCATAACACGCCATCATGAAAACCACAAATGCCACTCGTAGAACCTAACAACCACGTGTCCAGCAGGTGGACCGATGTTCAGCCAGACTTCAGCAGACACCCAGGTACTAGGGATGTAGCAGGTCACATCATGGCCAGTCACAGGGCACAACTGACCTGTCACATATGGTTCTAGAGCTTTTGGTACCAAACTTCTCGCCACCTTGAGGTCTTCAGCAGAACAGTTCCCGGATTCCAGCCCGCATGCCATGCCCATGCGCTTGAGCACCTCAATATCGTCATGGATTTCAAACGTGTTGTCAAAGTTAAATAGATACTCAAATCTGTGGGGGAAAGGTACTGTGAGAATTAGGGGCCACCAAGAGATGGACAATGCTGTGGGTGGGGACAGGCAGCAGTTCCTCCCCACCACCCTCCATCCCAGATCCTGCAAATGAATTTCTCCAAAAAAGTTTGAACTAGAGAATGAAAGACAAACCACTGCATAATTCTGCAAACTGCTGTCTTGCTCTAGGCATGGCACTGAGCCTGGACACAACGCTGACTGCACATCACTGGGCAGGGACACAACACTGACTGCACATCACTGGGTAGGGACACAACACTGACTGCACATCACTGGGTAGGGACACAACACTGACTACACATCACTGGGCAGGGACACAATGCTGCTTGTACACATATTCTTGCTGCTGGGTCATAAGGACCATTAGAGACCACAAATACTGTAACTAAACAGCCTTAAGGCTGTTATCAATGTATCCCAGAGTTTGATCCCTAATAGGACCCATTGAGGACGAACTTGTCATTGGAGATGCTGCAGTCAATGACTGTCTTCCTGCTGGTGTTCACAATGATGAAGGGCAAGTGGATGACAGAGTTGGGAGGAGGTGGCCTGCGGGCCTGCTGCTCGGCTTGGCGGTTCCTCTGCACCAAGTTCTTAAAGGCAATTTGCTGAAAAACACCAACAGGGTCCCCAGGCAGATGTTAATACCAGTACCACAATCACTGTCCTTCCTGCAGACAGTGGGAACCTGGGTAATGAGAGATCAGCTTTAGCAGTCCTGACATCTGCTGAAAGTCTATATGGGACAAGGGACACAGGCAGAGCAGTCATACTGACACTGCCCACACTGGTGGGTGGAATGACCTGCTCAAGGACTGAGTCCTAAGCTAACAGTTCTCCTGGCAGAGCACAAAGGACCTCTCTCCACAGTCCTGCAGGGATAATCCAGAGCCATGGTCCAGTGCCTAAAATGACCACATGCACGCACACAAGACTCTAAACCTGCCAACCCCATTCCTCCTTCCCTCCAGTGAAAACGTGGCTATAAAGACCAGGGCAACTACATAGGCAGAGGCCCTGATCCCCATACGGCGAATCAGGCTACAGGTAGTAAAAAATTCAACCTTGGCAAGTAAGGGCAGAAAATGGGGAGTGGTTGGGCCACTACCTATCCAGCCTCCACTTCCCTCTGGGAAGAGAATCCCTGATTTCCCAAATCTCCTTGGTACCTAAAATTGGCCCCCACCATGCCATCTTGGGCTGACCACACAGGGAAGAGCTATGTCACCAAGTACTAGGTCCTGAACACCACTCCTTCATCAGTCACATCCTATTTTAGGTAGTTAAGATTGCCTTGTGAAGCCAGGCAGTAGTGGCGACACCTTTAATCCCAGCACTCAAGAGGCAGAAGCAGGGAAATCTCAGAGTTCAAGTCTGGCCTACAGAATGAGTTCTAGGACAGCCAAAAAAAAAAAAAAACACAAAAACTGTGATGATGATGATGGAGGAGGAGGAAAAAAGAAGAAAGAAGAAAAAGAGGAGGAGGAGAAGAAGGAGGAAGAAGATGAAGATTCTAATTACTATGTGCCCTGAACAAGTACGGTCATCCCAGGCTGGTGACCAATGACCCCCATAATCAGTACCATCACTCAGTCTCCTGGAAGGTCCAGCCTGCCCAGCCATAAGCCCTGCACACACCATCTTCACTAGACAGTCAAGTCCCCACAATCCCAGGGCTACTTCACATGAACACACAGCCTCAATCACGATGCTTTCCCTGTCCAGGAGCTGTCAAAACTGCCATCTACAGAGTTCATGGCATGCCTAGGAGTGCTTATACACACTTGCTCGGTCAATCCCTCTGAGAACAAGACCTGTGTGGCCACAGCCTGCTTCCAGGGGAGGTGGGGTGCGCAGATAGGTGCGCAGACGGGCCACTACCTGCAAGATGAGCTCCTGGAGCTGCGATTGCTTCTGCTTGATCCTCTCCAGCCTCCGCTGCCTCTCCACCTGCAGACAGAACAGTGCAGACTGACAAACTGCACCTGCCAGGCCACAGGCACTAGACTAGCTCACCAAAGGCATCAGCCACAGTGAAACTGAAGGCCAGTGTCCCTGCAACTTCAACATTACACTTGATCCTTTCTCAGGAGTTGGAGGGTTATGTATTTGTGTACACACACAACGACAACAAAACACTCATAAATAAGGATTGGGAATTAAGCTACCTGCCCCACAGCTACATGTAAAAACTGCCTGGCAACAGAGACTGATAAATACAAAGGGATCCCCATGACATCAACTCAGTCATCTGGCATGGCCCTCTCAAGTGACCAAGGACAAAGAACACCTATTTTAGGCAGTGCACCTCTAGGTTCTGGCACTCCTGAGCTGAGTTGGTGGGTAGGCCGATCCACTTGATCTCCTTCTTCTCCTTGGAGATGATGTTCATGGCCATCAGCACGTTTAAGGCATCGTAGACACGCCGCCGGATGTTCTTCTGGTCATAAGCCTAGAAGACAAAGCGACAGTCTTCTTGGTGACCTGATGGCTTGGAAATTAACATTCGAGGTTCAGCCCACATGCATGTCCCAAGGGGAAACTCCTGATCACCCTCTGTGACACTGGTCTTGCAGACAGCCCAGATTACTTCTTATACCAAACCAGGAATTCTCAGCATCTACCTACCACTACTTCAGCTTGAAAGGCTGAGTAACCCAAGCCCATGTACTTCCAGAATACTTACGGATTCATTTGGTAGGATGTGGTTGTCAGCAGCACTGAACTCTGCAACCAGCTCATCAGCCACCTCATTGTAGGAGGTGGTCCCTTTCCTCTGCACCTTCTCACACACCTTCATAGAGAAATGCCGTAGGCCCTTGCCATTCTTCTCACCTTTCCTGTTCCGCTTCCTTTCAAACACCAGAAAAATAGACACTATTAGTAGTCATCGGAGCCGATGTGAATCAAGACACTTGCAGAGAAAAGGCCCAAGGCTGCAGAGCCCCCAGAGGCCCATTGTTCCCACAGCCCCACCACAGGCGGCAGGGACTCCGCCCTAACACAGCAAGGACATTGGTAAGGATCAGTGTTTCTGAGGTCAGAAAAGAACATATACAAGGCCAGTTCACACACCTGTGCCTTTAAATGTCAGGGAAGATGGACAGACATCCGAAGGGCAGACATCAGCATGGGTCTGATCCGGACCACACACTAGGCACCACTGTTCTAAAGACGTCTGCTGGCATCAGATCACGGCACATTTTAGTGTAAACTTAGGGATTTTCAGGGCTAATTTCATCAGGCTACCATGACCTAAGTGCTTAGACTTACGGGTGTGACAACAAGAGGAAACCATGATGTGAGCGTGCAGTCAGGGAGCACACCAGATGTGTCACCCTCACTAAACCACACCAGGAACAGTCACCAAATTCCTCCAGAGTTTTGGGCACAAACGATTTGAAATTAAAGCAACAGAGACATGGTTTCACAGTCGTGTGCTTTTAAGAAGGGACACACTGGTAACCTTTAAAGACAACCACTTCACTTCCACATCTGCTACTATTTAAGTGGCAGTGCTGTCCCAAAGGACCATCCACGGGATAGTCCTGAAGTGGTACATACAAGTCAAACCCTGTGGCAGTAGATAAAATCTGCACGCTTATTCCCAGTCTGAACAGTGACAAGTTCCAAAGTGGTTGTGTCAGAGTAGAGGACAGTGTTCTCTTCTTTGTGGCCCAGAGCTCCAAATCCCCCCAAATCGTTGCTGGCACAAGCTAGGCTTGCACCTTGCCAACTAGCCCAGACAGGGATGAGATGAGAGCTTTGAACTCTGTGTATTCAGGCACGCCCACTACAGACCATGTGACCATGGCCAGAGGAAAGAGGGAACATTCTAGGTAGTTGCCACGTAAGGGTGGAGGTGCTCACCCAGCAGACCAAGGTGAGGAGTCAGACGGCTGGTTCTGAGACACAAAGTGAGTGTTGGGAGTGTGTGGGCTTCCTACCACAATAGTGTTTGATGCTGCAGGTCTCTGAGGCGTGCCAATCACCTACAGTCAAAAGAGAATTCAGAACAATCAGACCCCTCCCCTCCACATCATGGCATTGCCATTTCTGTTACCTGCTTACATAGGCAATCACTGCAGCACCTCACCAGCTGTGGTGAGAAGACCGCAGAGAAGCCAATGTCCCGTGGCAGCAACATGGGAAGTACTGGCCACTATGGCCACAGCTGCTCTGCATACCAACTATGCATGGTTTCAGACACCTTTCCACTTAACAAAAGCATCAGGAAGCCTCAGTCAGGTGGGCAAGCTTGAGAAGACAGAGAAGACCAGAGTGTTAGACCCTGGAGTGGACAAGGCAAGTTTCCCATGGCAAAGAGCATTGAGTAATACCCACACCAAGCAGGCAACTTATTGATAGCTAGGGTTAATAACAAAACATTAACATATTTCTGGCTTATTTACTTCTAATGAGATAGACAAAGATAAAAATGTCATCTAAAGTATGAAAGTAAACAAAATAGTTGCCAAATCAAGAGTAAACCTTGGACAGACAGCAGGTCCTTCCTCCAGGCCCTAAGTGACAGCAGCCTCTGTCCAGGTTGAACTGGTGCTTGGCTGGCTGTCCTGCCTACGTCACTTCTCTGCAGTTTTTCAGGGACCCCAGGGTTCAAAAGGGACAGATGGCTCCCTTGGTCACATACAGCCCACAGTCCACCTGCTCAGGGGTGATGGCTCTTGGGGGTCATGGTAACCAATTCTACCACAGGATTGAGGTGCCGACCACTCTTACAGCACCTACTGAGAATTCAGCAATGCCTCCCTCTGATGTCTTTCGGTACAAGGTCTGCTGTTTTGGTTCCCTTAGTTAACAAACAAACCTGTTCTTCTGAAGACAGAGACTGTCCTATACAGACAACTAATGTCTCAATATGTCAGAAATCTTGCTACATACATAACTCTAAGTCAAAAAAACCTCTAGTAAATCCCAAACTACAAAGTCCCTCAGTGACCAAATTCTATGGGGATACCCGCACAGGGGCTGATCCCAAATATCCCTCCCTTGCCTAATCAAGGTGTGGGCACATTTTGGGAGCACTAGGTCACCGTGCTGGAAATGTTGGGCACACAGGAAGGGAAGTACATCTTGGCTCGCTCTCTTAGGTGGGTCTAGGGGACCCTTCCCATCCTCACAGACGACAAGAGCTTCATGTTGCCACAGGTAGTGCTTGCTGGTCACGTTCACACATCCCACACGAGCATGAGAGCTGTGCAGAGTCCTGGAACTCATGGTTGTGAGGGACTTCAGTCTACTCTGCAGCAGGAAGAACAACAACCCCTAGGAAGATACACAGCAAGACTCAGAGGAGCCTGGGGTCACCTGCCTGCATCTGGCAGCTGTGCTTGTGCAAGAGGGCCCTTGTGTCTGGCTTACCCACTGCCCACAAGGAAGTTGCCAAATGACTGGGTCTGAAGAAAACTTGCTCCCAGCTTCAACTCCTCCACATAGTACTTCTTGAATTGTTTTGCCAAGGAGGGTCAGGTGCCCCTGCCACAGGCAGCCTCACTTCTCACTGAGATCTACGTCCATCAGGACACACAGACACACACTTGCCCAGAGGCCCTCTGCATGTACCAGGTACAGCACACAGTGAGCTCCCCAACTCTCGGGTACATACATCTTCTCTGTGGATCTGACAACAGAAAGAAGGCAGGCTGTGCACAAAGAGGAGCTATCTACCCTTGGCATGCACATATTCCAGCCTCCATAAGTGTATGCTCCACCTTTGTGCACAGAATGCTTGGCAAATGCTCAGCCCTGTATGCCCATGCTCTCTGCACATGTGCACACACTGCTTAGAATAAGCTCTGGTTCTGTGTGCACTGGGATCAGAGTCAGCAGAAACAAGTTCAACTGCAGTAGTGGGAGGCCATGGAGGCAAGAGAGAAAATGGGAAGCAGACCAAGGAAATGTCAGCAAATTAGATGAGGGAAGAGGCAAAGGCAAGAGGAGAGCCAGATACCCAGGCCTTAAAAGAAACAGAAGAAAGTCATGTTGTAAAGTAGCAACTCCCTGCTGGGATGGCAAGATAAAGGCCTGCAGATAAAGCCCCAGGGAGCACAGTCAATTTGGGCAGGAAGTGGGTCCTATTATTCCATCTGCATCCTGACACTGGGAGCAAGGACTCCCCTTGATGTGCACACGTTCCACATCTGCATACAAGTGTGTGCAGCATGGCGGTGGTGGCGCACACTCGCCTTTAATCCCAGCACTCAGGAGGCAAAAGCAAGCAGATCTCTGTGAGTTCAAGGCCAGACTGGTGCATAAGAGCTAGTTCCAGAACAGGCTCCAAAGAGACAGAGAAACCCTGTCGAGAGAGAGAGAGAGAGAGAGAGAGAGAGAGAGAGAGAGAGAGAGAGAACACAAAGAGGAGGCCTTTGACACATAAAACAGTTTAAGGGTCATTTGGAACATGTCAGGCTGAGGATACAGTTCAGCAATATGCTGCTTACTTTAAAACACATGAGGTCTAGGTTCAATCCCTACCACTACCAAAGAACAAACACCCACCTGCCTGCAGCGTGGGAGCCCTGACACAGAACTATACTGCAAAGCATGAAACAGCGATCACTGCACTCCTCCAACAAAGTTCAATTCCAATCAGATGTTGACTTTAAGATCAATAAAGTTTAAATAACCTCATATTAACTTCCTCCCCACCCAGTGGGGCACAAATTTTGCAAAGACAACTAGACCAAACTCTCCATGCAGTGCTCACGGTAGGAGGAACGCGTTCATCATTGCCTGAGAAGAACCCAGATCCATACCACAGGGTTGCAGAGTCCTTAGAACCCAGGGCTCTTCCCACATCCATGGCACTTACAACCCCAATGCTTGCCAAGTGTGGTGGCACACACCCTCATCCAGGCACTAAGGAGGCCAAGTGTGGCAGCAAACACCCTTCATCCAGGCAGCAAGGAGGAGGAGGCAGAAGAAGATAAAGCTCCAGGAACACAACACCAGCCTGGTCAACACAAAATGATTTCCAAGCCAGTGGTACATAATGATATCTCACCTCAAACAAAACAAACAAAAATAGCAATGATGGGCTTGAAAGATGGCTCAGTGGTTAAGGGCCAAGTGTTACTCATGCCAAGTACCCAAGTTTGATTCTCAGTACCCACATGGTAGCACACAAGCTAACTCTAGTTCCAGGAGATATGATGTTCTCTTCTTAACCCCAAGGGCACCAAGCACAAGTGGTACACATATACAATGTAAGCAAAACATTCATAGAACAATTTTAAATGTAAAAAAATTAAAAACAAAAATAACAAACCCTCGGAATCACTGAAGAGACATAGAGGACACCAGTGAGTGTAAATATTAGCACATGCCAAGTAAAGCTGAACCACAGATGACAGCAACACCCGTGTGACTGCTTTCTCTGTGGAAGGCCTGACTATGCTGTACAGCTGCCCCAACAACAGCTGCCTAGAACACCTGATAATGCCTGTGGAAACCCAGAGAGCAGAGGGACAGCTAGGGACACCTGTGGAAAGCTGTGGAGGATTGGTGAAATAGGTCAGCTGACAAAGGCACTCGTCACCAAGCCTGATGACCTGAGTCCAATCCCCAGAACCCACAGGGTGGAGAAAAAGAAATAACTTCTCCAAGTTGTCCTCTGAACTGCACATGTGCTTACCTAATACACACAAAACAGAACACAAATAAATAAGTAAATAAATACACTTTAAAAAATGTTAAGTTACAGAGTCCTAAGGCCCCAGGATTACTTGAGGGAAGCACCAAGCCCCTTATTCCCACCAGGGAGGGTGCTAGCCCTCCCCAGAAGATATGAGTCTGGTGGGGTAAAACGCTGTGAGAGAAAGCAGCACATGGGCAAGGATAGAGGCATGCATGTCACGAAGGCCCAGGTTTCCCAGGAGAAGCCAGAACACCTAGGGGCTAGGGGGAAAATCCAGAGCCATGAAGAAGATAGGTGCTTAGATCAAAGACAATAATCTGTCCACTGTTGGCTCTGTGCAAAAATACAACAACGCTCCAGCTACAGGTAAGTCTGCACGGCTCTATGGGGTGCCTCATCTTTGATGCAATACTCAATGAAGGAGGGGACGGTGCTGGTCCCTTCCTGTGGCCATAGCCACACAGCCACACCCTTCCTCCATCCCTTCGCAGCTAGGAGACACAGTGGCTACAGAGGAAGGTCACAGAACTTGGCATAACACACAGCAAACTCTCTAGGCTCAGAGCTCAGGCAAATGAAGCCATGGAGCAGAAAGCTTGCCCAGGCCTTGGTCAGCACACCTATACCATGGTTACTGCCGTGTGTATAGGAGCTTCATATACTCCCTGACATAGGGGCACACTGAAGACACTAAGACTGAATGAACGCTGTTTGTACAACAGAAAGCAGTGCACACTTTCAGGAATCAGAATGCACCCTTGAGAAAGGACTCCTCAAGCAACCTCCACTGCTCAGGAAACCGTGGCCACAGCAACGCTGCTCGCATCTAGCCCATCCCGTAAGAACCGACATCCATGTGTCTTTCCACTTACCACTTGCTGTGTGATATTGACATTGGACTGTCCAAAGGTTTTTGGCAAAAGCTGCTTTCCGAGTGTGTTCACTGTGGATGGGTGGACAGCTACAAGAGACACCACACCTGAAACACAAGCACACAGGTGAGGGGTTAAACTGCTTCTCTGAGCTGAGGTTAAAGGGCAGTCCAGGAAGATGGTATTTTTATCAAGAGCCCAGCCTCCCTAGTTTTGACACTGCAGACCTATGGATCAGTCACAAATGCTCCAAATTTGGTCCTGAACCCTCCAGTTCCCTCTCTGGGGCACTGGCTAAGGAAGGTACTGGGCCTGGGGACTAGCAGGGTTCATTCTACAGCAGGCACTGGACTTACCACACCTGTTCCCCAGTGGCTGCTCTAGTCACTATCAGTCCACGCCCTGCCCTACTCTCATGTCTTGGGGGTAAACTGGCCATTTCTCTGCTTTAATGCGGTGAAATAAAGCGGCACAGCTAAGGTGTTCTCCTAACATGAAGACTGGAGCACAGAATTCCCAAAGGCTGACGTTACAGCTCTACAAGAACGATCAGAACATGAACTAGAGCTAACTCTCACTAAAACAGTGTCTAAATGTATAATATAAAGATTTTCAAAGGAACTCAGTGTTTTCAAATATAGTTGTATGGACAACATTGACTACCACAATTCAGAAAAAGATCCTAAAGCATTACGCTCACATTTGTCTTCAGATTTAAGGCTGGAAATTACAAACATGTAAGACCCGGTGTTTCCCCACCTCACCTACAAGGACTGACACGTGAGTGCCCCCACCAGACCTTAGCCAAAAGGTCAACAAGTGAGGTTCCCCAATTTCCCAGGTTTTGATTCTCCTCTCAGTCCATGTCCGGGTTGAACCCAGAGTCTCACACAGGTCACGCAAGCACTTCATCTAAAGCCCAGTGCAAGAAATGGCTTTAAGTAAATGGCCCCATTATCAAAGAACTGCATGGGTTCAATGCGGTCCCCATCAAAATACTAACGTTCTTTACAGGGCTAGAAGACGGAGTCTAAAATTAGGAGGCATAAGAAACCCCAAACAGCCAAAGTAACCATAAGCATAAAGAACAATGCTGGAGGTGTGGCAATACCTGATCTTAAACTAGAGCCACCGAAAACCGACCCACAGAGCAATGTGTTAAAACAGAAGATCAGACACAAACCCTAGGGGCTACAGACAATTGAGTTTCAACAGAAATGACAAACATGCACTGGGAAAAAATGCAGCCTCTCCAAATGGTGCTGTGAAAACTGGATTTCCATATGCAAAAGAATGAAGCTAAATAATCCTGCGCAAAAATTCATTCAAAATATATCAAAGACCTTATCACGAGACCCTAAACTCTGAAACTGCAAGATGAAGACAAGACAAACTCTGATGCTAAGGTACAGGCAAGGACTTTCTACAAAAGACTCCAGTTGCACAGAAAATCACTCCAAGAACTGACAACCAGGACTGCACAAAATGGAAAGTGACTACCAGTGAGGAAAGCTTACAAAATCGGAGAAAAATCACCAGCCA